GGTATTTCTATCCCCAGCTAAGTTCTGAGAGTACACAGAAGCAGTTAAATAACCAACTGTTTGAAGACTGATCAATTGTAGGGATCACAAAAGAGAGGGAACAGAGGAACATGACAACAAGTCCTGTAGCTGGACTACTGCCGTAAACATGAAGTAATCTTCACCAGGCTTTGTTGGCTGTTTGCTTTGCATCCTTCCTTATAACTAGGTCTTTGGGAGTTGCCTGTTTGCTTTTGGAAATTGAAGTAGCTTGCTGACGTAGTCAAATTTGGTACCAAACTTGGAAGATTGGCAAAAGTGAGGATCTGTTCTGAAAGTAGTATTTCTTTCTAGATTTCAAGGTTAGCTCTTACATATGTGCTATTTATTGTGGCAAGCACTTCCAGTGACTCTTCCGCCCAAGGGGTGTTGCTTTAACTAGTTCTAATATGTTTTGCCAGCTTTGGTTTAAACATTAGTTTTTCTTGCTTTTATGGTGATTATTCCTATTCTCCTGTAAATTTGCTTCTACCAAATGTATTTAGAGATCTCTTTGGTACAGTAGCCAGGCAGATTGAAGTCAAAGATTTTGCTTAATGTGGTGAAGCTTCTAGGTTGCAATGAAGATATAATGAAAAATTTCCCATTATCTTGATTGGGGTTATGCAATGGATTCCTTGCTTAATTCTTCAATGGATTCCTTGCTTAATTCTTAAGTTCTCCTTGGAATATTTTTCACTTAACACTGAGGGAAGGGGATGTGGCTGGTATTCTGATTTAAACCACTTTTTTCAGCACAGTGAAATTATTGTTGCATCTGATGATTCAGATTATCCATGGATGGGAAGGAAGACAGTGGCTATAAAAAGTAAATTCTTGGATTGGTAGAACAAGTTGAACTGGCACTTCAGTGCACTCTAGTGAGTTAGCAGACAGTGTAATTTATATAACCTAATTTATACCATAACTAGTGTTTTGGAAATTAATTATAGGATGATGGAAGAAGTTAGCTTGGAAAACCCTTCAAGCTGCTGTAGCTCACATTCTTACTGCAGGAGCTTGTTGTGCGAGGGTCATTTTAGGGCTTCTGAGATGGAGGAATGGCTGTTCAAGAAGGGTGAATATTCTGAGTTGGAAGGGACCCAGAAGGATCATTGAGTCCAGCTCTGAAGTGAATGGCCCATATGAAGGTCATACCCATGATCATGGCATGAATTAGCAGCATTCGCCAACCGAGAGGGCATGAAATGTGGACAGCCAGAATGTAAGGCTCATTTTGGCCATATGGGGGTATGTCTGTCAGAGGTCACAGATCCAGGGGTGAGTGGCTCTCTTCAGCTAAAGATGCCTCCTGGTCTACATGATGCTACAAACCACTGACTTGTCTTCCTGAGATGTCTTTCCCTGTGGGCCATGGATGGCTGTATGCTTACAGCGAACCGCAAGTGTAGTGGCTACCCAAAATTCTATCCTTTCTGTCTCCTGCTATAATTTCAGTGAGTTTGTGAGCTTTTCCAGGGAAATGTGGGGCAGGAAAGAGGAGATTTGGAGCCGATTGTCTTATAATAATTGTCCAGTTTTTCTCTGGGTATCACTGTTTTTGTAAAATAAGCTTAGGGAATGGTTATTATCCTGCTAGAGTCTTCTGCATTCAATTTGTGCAAGTCCTTCTGAACTGTCGTTCTATATTGGATACTACATTGCCTCAAACACCAACATTTCTTTTGGTAGTGTCCAAGGCTCTGGTGGGAAGGAATGGGCAGTATTTTGTGCTGCTTCTAGAAAAACCCAACCAAAACAAAGCAAGAAAACTCTCAAGAGCAACAACAAGAAACGCCATCCAAAGGCACACAGTACACATAAAAAATATGCTTAAGTAACCTATACAACATTCCTAATGTTTCTTATTACAGCATGAGGAGTCTGCTCTTGTTTTTAGTAAAATCAGCAGTTTCTGATTACATTAACTGTGATTGCCTTCCCAGTTGACTTCAAGCATCATGTAAAAGTATTAATATTTGCCCTGTTAACCTACAAAATAATAGTCTGGTAAATCCTAGAATGTTTGTCAGTATTGTAATTCATAAAGCTGGGCACAGCAGGGATTTTCCCTGAGATTTTAGGAAGTGAGAATATGCAGGCATGCTATCACAAGGTTTGTTAAAGATCCTGAGTGTACAGTCCAGGGAAGACCACACAAACTCTGCTTCAGGATGTTTTTGTTTTCTGCCTGTCAACAAATTTGGTCTGCTATGAAGATTTATAATAGTGAACTAATGATGTTATTTCATGTTCTGTATGGAAATTATGCACACAGAGAACAATAAAATCTGAAAGTTTATTTTAAGGCAGTAGTACAAGTAAGTGCTCTGCTGAGGGTTAGGGTTTATATTTGTGGTTGCGACTTGTTAAAATGGAAATGGAAAAACAAACAGGAAGAGCAGGTGGGATAGGTTTATTATGGAATATAGCACTATGTCTTAAATTTAACTCAAGCACAGAGACTGTAACAACTTTAACCCTTAAATGCATTTATGTTAGACTTGTTCATGTTTTTAGAAACAAGTCTCATCATGTCAAAGGTCTAAAAGTAGAATAAAATAAATTGAAACCTGATCGCCTTAGCTTTTTCAGTTTGAGCTCTGTAGCTGACATTTTACAGTCTGGTTGGGTTTTTTTTTTTCTCATATTTGTTCTCTGACACTTGGTGGTCTTATGGATGAGTTTTTAAGCCATTGTAAAGCTTTAAACTGATAATGTTACTCTGATTCAACTGACTGTTTAAGCATGTGCACATGTCCTCTACTGGCTTATGAAGTGTCTATATTTATTAGACTAACCCACTGAATCAGGGCTGCTAAACAGATGGACGTTTCAGTTTTTGCACCTTCTGACTTTTAAATAAAGCTGTATATTTTTAATATTTGATGGAAATTGATATGCCAGTACCATAAGGTTTGATTGGCAGATGCCTCTTTGGGTTTCCCCAGAGCAGCTGGATGCTCTATGCCTGGGAAGGAAAACCAAGTTTATTATGGCTAGGTGAAAGGCTTGCTTTATTTGTTTCTAATATTCTATTTCAATCAGAGCCCCTGACAAACTTAGCATTTAGGCTTTATGAACACTCAGTAAAAAAGACAGGGGTATTCCACAGATGTGAGATACTTTCTTAGGATTACTATTGATTTCTGCTCCATCAGGCTTGTTCCAGTAAAGGATTGATTTAGTCTTGCTTGATGTGACTCAAAGAAACTTATCCCTTAATGTCAAATATGGAGTAAAAGCTAGGGATCAAAGTAGAGATTTTTACTCTAGTTACCAGTAATGAGTTGCCCACAGAAGGATATAGTTCCCCATGGTTTCCAAATGTTTGTTCCCTTGCTTGCTTAGAAGGCCTTCATTATATACCCAATGAGAATGGGGTCTGGTTTATTTGGCTTAATTGCACTGGCCTATAGGAACAAGAGTTGGTTTTCTTTTTTAAAACACAGCGATTTTAAGTAGTTGGAAAAAACAGAAATAATTCATGATTTTTTACTGTATGAAGCTGTTAGGTTATAAATTAGTCCTGCCCTCCTGGAGGAGTATGTTGAGAGTTGTACAAAGCACTGATAAAATGAAGTGCCTCATTTGTAATCCTTGATTTATAGTGTTTTGGGTTATTATTAGAAGTGTTACTAATTCTGTGTCATCTTACATGTAAGATGAGTAAGTTCCATGACCAGGGCATGAATTGGATGAAACTTACCCATATCCATGATAATAAGCTATGGAGAGACTAGTATCCTCAACTGATGAGAAATACCACCTTTTATAAGTTTTCTTGTGGCTTTGTTTTTTGAGCAATAGATGATGGATATTCAGTAACCCTCCTGAACTTGCCCTGAGATTCTCCTCTGTCTCTACAGGGGGGGTGGTTGGGCCCTAGCCTTCACCCTCCTTTGGATCAGGTGAAAAGTGAAGGTGTTCCCTCTGAAGTGCCCCAAGTGCTGGACAGGGAATAAGGGCAGAGAGTTCTCCTTTCAAATAGTCAAAGAAGCATTTAATCCTGTGTCCATATTCAGGAGAAGGACAGGGGTTAATTCTGCTCTTGAGAGTAAGAAAAATGTTTAAGCAAGACTAAGAGGAAGCAGTAAAGAAAAAGAAATGTCACCCTAAGATCCCAGGGGCAGGGGCTCTTGCGATAAAATTCTATTATTGATAATATTTCCCAAACTGTATCCATTATATCATCCTTGGAGTTTCTGTGAGCATTGTCACTGCACAGTAGCGTTGAACTAGATAAAACAGTTTTCTTCCCAGAAGACTTACCCTTGTTCTCCCAGCACTGGTCTCTAATGGTTTAAGCACAGTCATCTACTTTCTGTTAGATTTTTAGGTACAGTGTAGATAAAGCATGCCATGAAGTCATAAATCTAATCCCTCACTTTTAATGGGGAAACAGGGAATTATGCAGTCATTCTTTTAAAGAAGAAGGTGCAAAAGGTAATCTGTGTCTGAAATGGCTGAATTGTGTTTTCTGTCACAATCATTAACTTAATGTGTAAATTTGCCTCCAGTTTGGGGCTAGTTTTCTAGTAGATCAGAGTGAATTTGTTTGGATTAACCTACTAATGAGTGAGGTGAGAGAAAATGAATTGCAAAGCAAGTTTCCTCTTTCCTCCCACACTTCCCCTTTGTGTGAAAGTGGCCTGATTGTTTTCCTGCCTGTCTGGCCCAGGACAGTTTATGTATTTGGGCTACAGTTGGGAAGGCTGCTTTGGGCACATCTATGATGCAGGACTGTGTGGTAAAGATGCTGGAGAGTGCTCTGAAACAAGATGAGTTCCTAGGCAAGCAGAGGCAGCTTTTGCCAATTTGTGACACAAGTCAGTATGTCTGCACGAGGTACTGTTAACACCCTAGCTCGTGTCAGTGCCAGTTTGAGTGCATGTGTGCCATGGTCTGGAGGTACCTTGCTCTAGTTTGAATGCACTTTTCTTGTATTGGGAAGAAACATTTTCTTTCTGTTTTTTCTTCAGGCAACAAGAGCTTCTCTGACTCAACATTGTACCAGTCTGGGGGAGTCACTGCGCAAGGAAAATGATATTGCCCTGATTATTGATGGTCACACACTGAAGTATGCCCTTTCATTTGAAGTCAGGCAGAGCTTTCTGGACTTGGCACTCTCCTGTAAAGCGGTCATTTGTTGCAGGTAAGGAATTCTGTGTTTCTTTTGGGTAATAAAGTGGGCATGAAGCCTGTGAAATTCAACCTAGTATGGGCACAGCCACACCTAAGTATGCTGGAGAACAGCTTGCTAGATAGTGTCTTTCTTCCCCTATGGAGGAGGAGGCATGTCCTGTCACTAAAATTGTGTCCTCAGATAGTACAATTCCCTCTGCCAATGTCAGTCCCAGTTGAGTCCGATCTCTTCTATAAAGTGATGAAAGATTGTGAGAAAAACATTGTGCCTGATTGCCCAATTATAGTAGACACTGATGAGAAGGGGGGCTATGGATGTAATTTGTAACCAAAATGTTTGTGACTGTTCAGCTCAGCTCTAGAGAAGGTCACTGCATGAATTTAAGTTGATCTTGACTTCTAGTTGTGTATTCTGTGACCCTGTGATAATAGTGCAATTTGCCCTATAAAGAAGTTAGACTACTGCTTACTTTTCTAAGTCACAGCAGAGTTTGTTGCTGTTTGTGGATAGAGCCATACACAGATATGGTCCTATGTCATGACAACTTCAGAAGAAAGGAAATAAGAACCCCAAGAAAATGAAAACCAAAAACTGGCTTACTTTACTTTTTGTGTAGCAGGAAGGCTGCATCATTTTTATCTTTGAAAGATTATGTGGCTTTGAGGATTGTGTGTGTTTGTGCTCATTGCTGGTATTTGGGGAGAATTGTGACCTAGGGGGGATTGTTGATTTAGGCAGGCAGAGGAAGTTTTATTTGCATTCTAGAAGCAAGACCTGCTTTGTGGAAAATGACTGTATGGAAACCTTGTACTACTTTTTTTTTGCAGTCTTACCTTTTATGTGTGTACTTTTGTGCAAGTATCACATGGCAAAAGGATGTCTATGTACTTGAAATAGCTTAATCCTGGGGCTTTTTATATGACTAGTTTCTTTCCATTTATTTTCTGGACTGCTGTACTGCACGATACTGGGGCTAGAACTGTTCAACGTGTTCATTAATTACCTGATGATTAGATGGAGTATGAGCTCAGCAAGTTTACAAATGATACAAGACTGAGGAGTGAGAGATACCACTGAGTGCTTGGCTGCCCTTCTGAGGGACTTCAATAGGTTGAAGATTTGAGCAGCGAAATGTCATGAAGCTCAAGAAGGGGAAGTGCCAAATTCTATGCCTAAGGAGTTACAACCCCTTACACCAGTAAGCTGTGGGGGTTGCCAAGTTAGAAAGCACCTTTCTCCAGAAGAATCTTTGGATCCTTGGTGGACAAGCTGACTGTGAGCCAGCAATTAATCCTAGTGGCAAAGCAAAGACTAGTGCTACCCTGGGCTACAGTCTAAAGAGCATGGTAAAGGTTGAGGGAGGTGATCCTTTTTCTCCACACTGCTGAGGTAACTTTTAGAATGTTGTGTCCCGTTCTGGGATTGTTAATATAACAGGTTTAATGGAGAAGGCAGGACCATGAAGATGATAAAGGGGCTGGAGCATCTATCATGCAAGGAGAATCTGAGAGAGCTGCAAGTATTCAGCCTAGAGAAGAGTAGGCTCAGAGGGGTTTGTATCAATTTGAATGAACATGCAATAGAAGGGAATGAAAGATGAGGGAGACAGGCTCTTCCCTGAAGTGTTCAGTGACAGCAGTTTTTCTTCTGTTGCTGATCAATTTTTTTTAAATTTGGGCAAGGTGCTAGAGGAAGAAGGCACAAAGCCTTAGAGCAGGGGTCTCATTTCTGCAGCTGTTTTGTGGAGTGGAAAGTGTTTTACAAGAGGAAGCTGACACAAGTCTAGCCATCTTTGGAATGCAACAGGCCCTGATGTAGGGCCCATAAGAGGGCCAGAGTGAAAGTACCCTGGGCTTCGAGAGCATCAGGTGCCCAGGATGGGAACTGGCCCGGTGCTGTGCTCTCTTTGAGGGGGAGTTAAGAAACTGAGCAGATGGAAAGCTCGTGCTTTCCTACTCTATCACTGTGCTTTCACAGAGATCCTTCCAAGGCACTCTGTTAATTTATTGCTCGAAGATTTGACAAGTTAAGCCAAAGACCTATGTAGCTGAAAAAAATAATAAATTACAAATTATTACATTTATACCTAAAATATATATATAATAAGCTGAATATAAGGAATGGTCCTGTTTTTGCATGGAGGCATGCAATACTGGACATTTCCTCTTTCATTATTTCATGTGGGGAGCCAACAGGAGTTTTATTTATTAGTGAATTAGCAAATTGAGGAACAATGCAGGAAAAAAATACTTTAAAGTATAAATCAAATGGGAAGAGATGATGTAATTTCATAGCTTAAAAGGAGGAATGAAAATAATTGAGTTTTAAGTCCCCGGGGAAAAAGAGGAATGCTTTTAATAACCTTTAAGGCTTTTCAAGAACCTTCCAGTCACTTGCCAGGTGCTTGATGCTGAAGCAAGAAAAACATTTTTTATTAATGCTCTGAGTTGTTTTCGATAGTACGTTGGGTGTCAAATAAGGCAGTGCATAGGAAGTTTCACAGGAAGAAGTTTTAAAATGGAGTTGAGAAAGAGGACATTTCAAATTAGAGTTAGTCTTCAAATGAAAATGTTAGCTAAGAGGGGGATGTGGCTCTTTAACTTAGTGAGATGACATTTACCACAGTAGGAGTTGCCTTGCTATTCTCAATATTGCATAAATTCATTTGGCTTAATATTTCATAAATTTACTAAAACATTTTCATCTCCTCTAGGGAGTTTCAGCTGCATTTGCCATTCAATTGTTTTTCTTTTTAAAATACAGTTAAGACATACTGTATATAAATATAGTTAAGACATACTGTATATTCATTTTCTGGGCTTTAGGCATAAACTGTAGTTGAACTTGATTCTCAGGGGTAATCTCTTAAAATGAAACTGTAGTAAACCTGGCTCCTTTCTGCATTAAGAGGGAGAGATGGTATCTTCTGATGGGGTTAAGTCTTCCACTGTTACAGTGTCTCTAGCAGGCCACTGGCACAGTGGAGAAAAATATACCCCTCAAGGGACTTGGTAAAGCTAGCAAAATCAAATCAAACAACTCCTTAAGAAAAAGCCTTGTTTGTTAAAAGTTTTTCTGGAGACTGACAGATCTTATTATCTTTCTTCACACTGACTGGGATGTCAGGATGTCAAAAGCAAGCAAAACTTACTTTTCAGTGGAAGTAAATGTTGTTTGGAAGGCAGTTGAACTCATGACTTCATTTATGAGATCTGAGCTGATGATTGCTTGTCTCTGGTTTTCAAATGTTCCTTTAACAGACCTGTTTTTAGTGATGTTTTGTGAGACAAAAAATGTTAAGGTTTGGGTAGAAGTGAGTTTATTCTTTTAATAACAAAATGGAGTGTTTTCCTTCATCTAGTGTTTATACTCTAGCTGGTAGATATAGCATATTGATGCATTTGGCTCTGAATATAAAAGTAGCAGAGAATTATATAACTTGTGTGTTATGGCATTTAATATTTAATATTTTAAAAATGAAATATAACTTAAAATTCATATTTAATTCTCCACTGAAGAGCCTGCCTTGAATTGGAAGTATTTGTAGTTTGACTTAATGTAATGTTTCGGAAACACATTTTTATGACTATGCTTTGGGAACTTTTTGTTATTGTTGTTGAGTAGAACTTCTTTGCAGGTGGCAGTGATTCTGCCTTTGTATGGGTTTAATGCCATATTAAAAAGACATCCATCAGGAAGAAGCAATCCATTAGCATTTAAGAGATTAAATAATTCTAAGCAGTTTGTAAGTACTTCGGTACCTAAAATTAATTGTTGGACCGCAGAAGTAGTCCTTTGTATAATTTGTTTCACAGATGAAAGCACAACAAAGCAAACACCTCCAGTGAGATGTATAGTGTAAGACTGGGAACCCATCCCACATTGGGCTGCCTCAGTGTGATTCTTTTCCCTTTTGCTTGTATTACTGACCATTTCTGCAATACTTCTTGAGGTGATGGTGCTGGGATGTTGTTTCTTTTCCATACGTGTACTTAGATCCTGTAGCTTTTCAGCTGAGTTAACAGCGAGTTGATGCCTGTATAGGAGGGATTTCAGGTAATAGGAAAATAAATAAAAATGTCTCAATTGCTTTACAGTCCATCAACTTTTCTGCCATACTTTGATCATATGTCCTGTTCTGGAGAGGTGTCTATAAAGTGTTGCAGTATGAATAGAAATTGAGAAAATATAGCAACAGCAATTTCTATGGACTACGTGCTATTTCCACAAGGGCACTTGCCATGTCATGGCTACAACATCAGGACGTTTTTGCTTGCTTTTAGGTGTGAAAGGTATGCGCAGTTGTTGCTCAGCATCTGAACACTGACTTCTGGAGGGTTTCTACCCAACCTCACCAGCTAACTGTAGATAATAGTGGCACAAACTGTTGTTTTCAGTACCTTGAGCAATATTGGAGCTGTAGTGATAGTGGTTAGGAGCTGAGGAAAAAAAGAAACAAGAGGAGAAAATGTGTTTTTTTTTAAACAACCCCCTACCAATAGGGCAACCCTGGTCTGTGTTGCTATTGTATGTAGCATGCAGGGAGGCTGGGGTGAAGACAGGAGCCCACGGGTATCACTCTGAGAACAGACACTAAATGTTCTGAAATGAACATACCCTTTGACTAGAGTGTGTCTGCTTGGGTGTGGAAAGGGAAAGGATTTAATGACTTGAAAGCAGAAGGCTGGAGAAGGGAAGGCAAAAAGCAGCTTGTGAAGAGTATGTGTTGCTAACTCTTAGAATCACTTCATCAGCTAAGGAGAGAAGAGAGATGAGGAGACAAGAGAAAAGTTGTCTCAGCACTCAAAGTTGTAAGGCCATAGCTGGGGTGCTTCTGGTCTTCTTCCATCATGATTTGGAGGAGACATGAGTAACATAGCTGACAAAATGAACATCTGGAATACTTCTTAAATATTTCTTCCCGGAACTTGCATGTTGTTGCTGGTATTAGTATTTGACAAAATGATCGTTCTTTGCTGCAGTAAAGTGTGTATTTATTTATAGAATCA